GAGAAGTCTAGCTTTAAATTTTTATCTTTAATTTTTTATGTGAAACTGACATGGGGCTGGGGAAATGGCTCATTCTGTAAAGACAATCTGAGTTCCTTCTCCCAAACCCTTTCTTTTTAAGAGCTAAGCATGGTGGCCTGTGCTTGTAATACTAGTGCTGGAGAGACTGGGGTAGGGGGCCCCTGATCCCCAAGGCTTACTGGTCAACCAGCCTAACCTACTAGATGAGTTCCGGCCAATGAGAAACCCTGTCTCAAAATAAATGAATAGGGCTGGAGAGTTGGCTTAGAGGTTAATAACGCTGGCTGCTCTTGCACAGGACCCAGGTTTTATTTTTACCATCCAAATGGCAGCTCACAACTGTCTCCATCCCAGGGGATCTGATAACCCCCTTCTGGCCTCCTAGGGCACTGCATGCACATGGTGCACATACATACATGTAGGCAAAGCACTCATGACACATAAAATAATGGAAAAAATTCTTTTAAGATAATTAATAGATGTGTAGACAGTACCTAAATAACAACACCCAAGTTTGTCCCGTGGCCTCCACATGGACCCACACAGAAATGTTCACATACACACATACTCGCTGACCTAGTTAGGGTTGCTGTTGCTGTGATGAAACATCATGACCAAAAGCAAATGGAGGAGGAAAGGGTTTGTTTGGCTTACACTTCCACGTCACTGTTAATCATTGAAGGGAGTCAGGACAGGAACTCTAAACAGGGCAGGATCCTGAAAGCAGGAGCTGATGCAGAGGCCGTGGAGCTGCTTACTGGCTTGCTCCTCATGGTTTGCTCAGCCTGCTTTCTTATAGAACCCAGGACCACCAGCCCAGGGATGACCACCCACCATGGGCTGGACCCTCTCCCATCAATCACTAATTAACAAAATGCCCTCCAGGCTTTCATACAGACGGATCTTAAGGAAGCATTTTCTTAATTGAGGCTCACTCATCTCAGATGACTTTAGTATGTGTCAAGTTAGCATTAAACTGTCTGAAACTTTAAGGAAATGTTGCCTTCATTTACTACACTAAGTTACTAGTGGAACAGCTAAGAGTAGGCGTATAGAATCTGTAATTTGATTATAGTTTTGTATCATTTTAGTACACAAATGATAAAAGTATAAATAATAATAGTTTTACAGTACATTTCTCATAGGCCATTTTTACTTAAATGAGAATTATCAAGGCTTTGGATATTGGATATTAACTGATGTATGTTCCTCTTTAGTCCTTAGCGTTGGTGTCGGTTCTTTTGCCATATTCATAGGTGGTCCTCCCCCTTTTTTTCCTTTGGTTATTTGGGGACAGGGTCTTTTTATGTAGACCAGGCTGTCCTAGAACTCCCTATGTAGACCAGGCTAGCTTTCAATTTACAGAGATCTGCCTACCTCTGCTCCAGTGTGCTAGGATTGAAGGTGTGCTCCACCACACCGGGCTCACATTCAGAGTTTGATCAAGTTTTTTTTTTACAGTTTTTTTTCTTCCCTCTTACATTATTCTTTCACATTGTTATTCTTCCCTTTTCCTTTTAGCCTTAATATATTTTTTTTTCAAGAAGAATTAGATATACTTGAAAACTCAGTGGAATTTTAGTGTGTTTTTTAAACTTCCTGAGAAACTCAAAATCACAATTTAAACTCAAATTAAAAAGATGAATTTGCTAATTGTATTTATGGCATGTGACAAAATAAATTGCAGTTGATATGGTACCTCTTGCACTTCTGTGACGTAGATCCTGAATTCTATAACTGAAGAAGTCCTCAATCATATGGGCACTTTCCAGAGTGTTCTGGATCAGCGAGACTGGATAATAAACAAATTTAAAGAAGGTAACATAAAGGAAACCATCTGTATCATTTAGGGTGAAGTCACACTGCATCTCTGTATTCATGCAGTTTTAGACTAAAAGAATATTATTTTAATATGGATACTCTAGTCATGTCGATCTTTTCTGTTGTACTAATTTGTTCTATAAATTTCACCTAACTGACAGGAGTTACTCCTACTGTCTTAACTCTTTATGGCCTTTTATTTTAGAATAATTTTACTTTTTTTTTTTTAAAAGATTTATTTATTTAGTATACAATGTTCTGCCTGCATGTATGTCTGTCTGCAGGCCAGAAGAGGGCACCAGATCTCATTACAGATGGTTGTGAGCCACCATGTGGTTGCTGGGAATTGAACTCAGGACCTCTGGAAGAGCAGTCACTGCTCTTAACCTCTGAGCCATCTCTCCAGCCCCTAATTTGACTTTTTGTATTGTCAGTGTGAAGTGCCTATAACAGATTTGTACATCTTTGTCTGGCATTTTTATGTTTAATATTGTGTGTATGTTTATGGGAGCAGGAATGAACTTGCCTGGCTGTACTTATGCATATGGATGCAGGGGTTGGCATTCAATGTCTTCCCTAATCTGTGTGTGTGTGTGTGTGTGTGTGTGTGTGTGTGTGTGTGTGTGTGTGTGTGTGTGTGTGTGTATGTGTGTTCAATCTCTCACTATAACCTCGAGCTAAGGATTTGGCTAGGCTGGTTGACCAGCAAGCCCCGAGGATCCCCCTATCTCAGCCTCTGCTTTTCAGCCCAGGGATGACAAGTGCAAGCTCCCTGCATCCATCCAGGACGTGTGTTTACTCTTCTTTTCTTTTAATGGGTGCTGAGGGTTGAACTGAGGGCCTCATGCTTGTCCAGCAAGCAGTTTACCAACCGAGCCATCTTCCCAGCTGCAGATAGTGTTCAGTTATCGTATAAAACATGTCTGGCCTGTGGCTGGGTTTTGTTACTCATGTATAGAGTGCTTGCCTGGAGCCTGCCTTTGAATAGCCTTTAATACCTAGACAGCATATGGAGTAAGGACTTGATGATCCTCCCTGAAAATAATAATTGAATTCCCTTTCCTTCCAGATTCCTCTTTAGAACTCTTCCTCCTTATCCACAACTTGGATAGCCAGATGTTGAGAGGAGACACCAGCCAGCAAGTTCTTGGACAGCTGTCGTCTTTGGAGAACGTGTACCTTTTAGCGTCTATTGATCACCTCAATGCTCCTCTCAGTAAGTTCCTCTTCTCCCTTGAGAGATTAGCTTACGAAAGCTTCTTACTGTTTTTCAGTACATTTTCAGCTTCTTAAAAGGTGGTCTCAATTTATTGGAACTAAAGCTCTCCACTAAAGAAGTGTGTTACATCTGAAGTTACATGAGGAAAAATAGACCAGTTCCATCCTGCTCTTTGTGGGATTACAATGTTGTTGTTTTGTTTGTTGCCTGTTTTCTTTCTTTTTTTTTTTTTTATTAAATTTATTATTTTGTGTTCATTGGTGTTTTACCTGCATGTATGTCTGTGTGAGGGTGTCAGATCCCCTGGAACTGGAGTTACAGACAGTTGTGGGGTGCCATGAGGGTGCTGGGAATTGAACCCAGGTCCTCTGGAAGAGCAGCCAGTGCTCTTAACTACTGAGCCATCATTCTAGCCCCTTATTTTATTTTTAAGACAGGTTTTCTTTGTGTTACAGCACTGGCTGTCCTGGAACTCACTCTGTAGACCAGGCTGGCCTCAAACTCACTGAGATCCACCTGCCTCTGCCTCCCTAGTGCTGGGATTAAAGGTGTGAGCCACAGCCTGAAATGTTTATTTTATAAATTCAAAGATTTTGTGATAATGATAGAAGGTTAATTATTAAGTTTTTAAGATTTATTTGTGCCGGGGCGGTGGTGATGCACACCTTTAATCCCAGCACTCGGGAGGCAGAACCAGGAGGATCTCTGTGAGTTTGAGGCCAGCCTGGTCTACAGAGCGAGATCCAGGACAGGCACCAAAACTACACAGAGAAACCCTGTCTCAAAAAACCAAAAAAAAAAAAAAGTTTTATTTGTTTATTTATGTGTATTTTGCCTATGTGAGTTTATGTGCACCATATGCTGGAGAGGCCTAGGAGCATCAGATCCCCTGGAACTGAAATTATAGGTGATTGTGAACTGTCATGTAGGTTCTGGGAATTGAACCTGGGTCCTCTGCAAGAGCAGTAAGCATTCTTAACTGCTGAGCCATTTCTTTAGCCTCCTTATAGACCAGGCTGACCTCGAACTCACAGAGACCTACCTGCCTCTGCTTCCCAAGTGCTGGGATTAAAGATGTGTGCTACTACACCTGACTGCCTTATTAAAGTTTTAAAAGAATTATTGATGGTACTGAGGTATTTTCATTTGTATTTAATGTACTAATAAAGATTCAGATGTTAAACAAGTAAGGTAGCTCATACTTGCCACCCTAGCACTTTGGAGGCCGAGTCGAGAGGATTATGAGTTTGAGACCAGCCTGGGCTCCATAATGAGACCTTGTCTCAAAACAAAACAAAAGAATTAAGATTTTGATTGACAGCAGAAGCAGGTTGTGAGTTACAGATTTATATAAAAAAATGACAAAAATGAAATATTTTATGATATTTTTTTAAATGCAGTACTAAGGTGTAAACCCAGAACCTTGTATACTTTTTTTTTGGCAGGGGGGTTCGAGACAGGGTTTCTCTCTGTAGCTTTGGAGCCTGTCCTGGATATTGCTCTGTAGCTCAGGCTGGCCTCGAACTCACAGAGATCCGCCTGCCTCTGCCTCCTGAGTGCCCAGCGAACCGTGTGTACTTTACCCAAGCACTCTACCGGAGCCGCGTTCCCAGCTCTTAGCGCTTTCCCTTTAAATGCTCCTTCACCGCAGTGAAGTCTCATGGACATGAGGATAGCATGATCGTTTGTAATCCTCTGCTTTGATCATCTCCTGTAGTGTGGGATCATGCGAAGCAGAGTCTGTATAACTGGCTTTGGTATGAAACGACGACATACAATCCTTACTCTGAAGAGACGTCCTATGAGAACTCCCTTCTGGTTAAACAGTCTGGATCTCTGCCGCTTAGTTCTCTAATTCATGTCTTACGAAGCCTTACCCCCAATGCAAGGTAAGAATAAAAGCTACAGATACAGTTATATAAAGACATATATCCATATATACACATAAAGATATGTATCCATATATATTATATATACATAAAGACATATATCCATATATACACATAAAGATGTGTGTCCATATATATTATATATACATAAAGACATATATCCATATATACACATAAAGATGTATACCCACATATATACATTATATATAAAGATGCATATCCACATATATATTATATACATACATAAAGACATATATCCATGTATACGCATTGTACATACATAAAGATGTATGCCCATATATCCACATTGAGGGCTAGCGGTGTGGCTCAGTGGTCAAGCACTTGCCTAGCATGCTAACTCCCCTGAGTTCAGCTCCCGGCACTACTACAAAGATAATAACCTGCACGGTCAAGGGCCAGGAGTGAAGGTCGGGAGCACTTGTCTCACGTGTACAAAACCCTCAATTCAGTCCTGGCTCTTCAAAAATAAAGCATTTTGTACACCTGAGGATGTACTACTAAGTTTATCAGTGATTCTGCTGTTTGGTCAATACTGTAATCCAAAGCAACCTGGGGGAGAAAAGGATTTGTTCGGCTTACACTTCCAGGCCCCAGTTCACCACTGAAGGAAGTCAGGGAAGACGTCCAGGCAGAGACCGTGGCAGATGCTGCTGGGCTGACTCGCTCAGGCTCATGCTTAGGCACCTCACAGCCTAAGGCTGTGCCGCCCACAGTAGTCTTGGCCCTCCTGCATCAGTTATCCACAGGTGCCCCCACAGACAGGCCTGGGCGCCGATGCGGTGTGGTGATCTCCTCGGTTAGGAGCCCCTTCTCAGGCAGCTCTAGGCTGTGGAGAGGTGATATAGTTAGGACAGAAACAAAACTACCTACTTGCTGAAAGGGTTCAGGAGGATAATAAAAATGGTGACCAGGACTGGATTATACGATAGGCAGAGTGTTCAGTAGTAGCCTGTGAAACTGACCATGAAGCTAAAATAGTTTTTAACAAGTTGTTAGGGGCTGGGAAGATGTCTCAGAGTTTAAGTAAAGCATTCTTGGACTTAGTTCCGAGGATCCATACGGTGACTCACAGCTATATGTAACCTCAATTCCAGAGGAACCCAGCAAGCACATACATGATGCACATACATACATACATACATACATGCAGGCAACTTTGTTGTTTCTGAACAAAAATGTCTAAGTTGTAATACAGAGAAAACTCAGGGCATTTGGTGTATTTTTTGTGAATGTGAGGTGGGGGCTCGCTGTTACTCAGCTAGAGGTTTTTGGTTTGGTTTTTGGTTTGTTTTGTTGATTTTGAGATAAAGTCTCACTGTGTAGTCGTGACTTCCCTGGAACAAACCCAGAGATTTACTTGCCTATGCTTGCTGAGTCCTAAGACTAAAGGCCTGTGCCACCATACCCAGCACAGGACAGAGGTCTGGAACTGTGCCCAAGTATCCCTGTCTTCGTCTTCTGAACACTGAGACTGTGGAAGTGTCAGCAGACCTCCTCAGGTTTGATTATAGAAAGTGTGTGTGCGCGCGTGCGTGCGTGCGTGCGTGCGTGCGTGCGTGCCTGCGTGCGTGCTTGCATGCTTGTGTGCTTATGTGTGCATGTGTTCCTGTGCACACGCTCCTAGATAGGAAAAGTGTTTCTTCCTACGAGGCTATGGTTTTCTTGAAGGAACAAAAGGCAGTGTAGCCTAGCCAGCCACATATTTGGCATAGTTTTACACTTACTTCTACAGAGTGATTCTGTTTAATTTTTGTTTTTGTTTTTGTAGGGGGATTTTCAGGCTCCTTATAAAGTTCCAGCTGGATAACCAGGACAGCCCTTCCTACATAGGTATCTGATGATTTGTGATATTTAATGTGACTCTGTCCCCCTGTACTCCCTGTTCTAGGGCCCCTTGACAGCCCTGCATTTCTCACAGCGGAGAAGTGACTGCTCTGTGGTGGGTGTGTCTGTCCAAACCTGTAGGGAATTCCCAGTATCTTTGCAAATACACTGCTCAGTAGATTGCTAATGGGAATTGGAAGACAGGCCCACTTACTTTTAGAATTCCATGCACTACTGGAACTATGGATGTGTATCTGGTACACACACACACTTATGCCTGGCATGGTGGTCCATACATACCTTTCATCTCAGCCCTTAAGAAACAGGCAGGCTGGGTGACAGTGGCGCATGCCTTTAATCCCAGCACTCAGGAGGCAGAGCCAGGCGGATCTCTGTGAGTTCGAGGCCAGCCTGGTCTACAGAGCGAGATCCAGGACAGGCTCCAAACTACATGGAGAAACCCTGTTTCGAAAAACCAAAAAGAAAAGAAAAGAAACAGAGGCAGGTGGATCTCTGAGTTCCAGGCTGGCCAGAGCTACATAGCAGGACACTATCCTTTTTTTTATTTTATTTTATTTTTTTAAGGCAAACAGAACATCGAATGACTTAATCTTTCGTCTCCCCAGGACTTTCTTTTCAAGACTTCTACCAGCAGTGTCGGGAGGCATTCCTCGTGAACAGTGATCTCACACTGCGAGCGCAGCTGACTGAATTTCGGGATCACAAACTCATAAGAACGAAGAAGGTGGGACTGCTGGTGTATAGCACTGGGGTAGGGTTAGTGCGTGTTATTACTGAGGACAAAGGCGGGGCAACAGCCAGAAAGGAAGGGAAAAAACAAACAAAAACGAGAAATGATGTCACAGAAACCAGGGACAAGAGAATGAATGGTACCCTGTAGTGTCGGATGCTTCTGAGAGGCCAAGAAGACACAGACTGGACATACTGGGGCTTTGGACTACGGGAAGATGTGACAATGAGCCCTTGCTCTGTGGTGCTGCGGATGAACTGCTGGGAGAAAAGAGGAGACATTTTATGGACAGCTCTGGAAAAGTGACGTTTAGGGCAGTGCTTAAAGAGGAAGAGTGAGTCCAGGACATTTCTAATTATTTTTTAAGTGTGTGCACCATGTGTGCTCGCCTGGTGCCTGTAGAAACTAGAAGAGGGCATTGGAGCCCCCAGAACTAGAGTTACTGGTGGTTGTGAGCTGCCATGTGGGTGCTGGAATCCAACCAGATCCTCTGGAAGAACAGTCAGTGCTCTTACTGCTGAGCCATCTTTCCAACCCCAAAAGGTATTTTTAGGTGAGAGCTACTTGGAACACATTCAAAATCAAGTGAAGGGTGGTGTGGTGGGGCACACCTTTGATCCCAGCACTAGAGAGGAAGAGGCAGGCGGATCTCTGTGAGTTCAAGGCCAGCCTGGTCTACAGAGTGAGTTCCAGGACAGCCAGGTTACACAGAGAAACCTTTTCTCAAAAAAACAAAATAATAATAACAATAATTTAAAAGGCCAGGTGTTTTGTTTGTTTAATCTGCAATAGAAAAGTCCAGATAGCTCCCTTACCAAGGATTAACATACGGAGTATTCTTTTGTCTTGTAGGGAACTGATGGTGTGGAATATTTATTAATTCCCGTTGACAGTGGAACATTGGCTGATTTCTTGGAGAAGGAAGAGGAAGAGGCTTAGACTGTCTCCTTTTAGGTGGAAAAGTCATTGTACCCCACCTGCTGCTCCTCTAGCAAGAATGCTAGTTTACATCCAACATTAGATCATTCTGTCCAGCATACAAGATTTACTATTGAAGGGACATATAATCAATTTGAACTTTGATTAGCCTGGCTAGTGTACTGTCTCTAATACTATGCAGTGGTCATCGAGTTGGGAGGGAAATGTGCCTTTAATTTATTACTTCTCTGGAGACTTATTGCTGGATGAACAGTATGCTCAGGGATTATTTGGAAGTGGATATTTTTGGATTATTTTATATGGAATGCTATCCCTAATTTTTGAGGGCAGTTTAACTCCCGAGCTGAATTACTACAAGTGCATTTGTTTCAGATCAGTACAGAGATGGGGTCACACAGAACTTAGGAGGAAGGAGGTGGCTAGTCTGCTTTTTCTGAAATGATGAAAACATTTCAGAAGTCTCTCCCTGAGGACGTAGGCTGCACACACTCGGGACAGTTGGTCCTCAGCTGAGACAGTGGGAGAGATGCAAGGAATGGATAGGGCATGTGCCCAGCCTCGGAAGCACACTTAAAATAGTTAGTATTTATACCGTGAATTGATTTTTGTATGAACGAGAAGTCAGACTAAGAAATAAAATCCTGATTTACATGTTAGTAATTGTTTTCAGGACAATAGAAAATATAAAGATTTCCTTATTCTTGTACATTGACGTTTATTTTCTTAAATAGCACGCAGGAATAGCTGGCCCAGCCCTTTCCTGCCACTTTCAGGAGTCAGGCAGGCAGACTGCTTCTCTCCTTCAGAACTACAGCAGCAAGACATGAGCTCACCTTTGTAATCCGACACAGGAAGACGAGGCAGGGAAAGATGAGTTCCAGCCCAGTCTGAGCTAGTCACTGGACGCCCTGCTTCAACAAACATTCAATAAACACACAGTGATACACAGGAAACTGGCTGGTTTGCACTTTCTTCTTGTGTGTAGTGTGTGTGTGTACATGTGTGCAGAAGCCACAGTAAGATGTGAAGTGTTTTCTGCTGTGTTCTGCCTTACTGCCTTGAGAGAACGTCTCCTGAACCAGAAGCTTCTTTTAGGCCAGAAGTGCTGCCAACAAGCCGTCAGTCAGCCTGTCTTCCCACCAGGGCTGGCGTTAGGGCACCACAGCCATGCCCAGCTTTGTGCATGGGTGCTGGGATTCAAATTCAGGGCCTCTGTTCCAGAGCAAACACTCTTTCCCACTGAGCCATCTCCCCAGTTCCGTGGACCTTGTGTTCTTGTTTAATATGTCTAGTTTATTATAACTACCACATCATAAACAAACATATAATATACACATCTTTGCATTTGCCTTTATAGTTTGTTGTTGTTTTGTTTTTTTCTGTTGTTTTTCGGAACACAGTTTCTCCATGTAACAACCCTGGCTGTACTGTAACTCACTTTGTAGACAAAGCTGACCTCGAACTCATAAAGAGCTACCTGCCTCTGCCTGCCCAGTGCTGGGATTAAAGGTGTGCACCACTACCACCTGGCTTACAGTTTTTTTTTTAAAAAAAACAATATATATATATATATATATATATATATATATATATATATATATATATATATATATATATATATATACTTCATTGTACTTGGTCCTCATTCCTTCCCATCCCCAACAGCCATGCCTCCCTCTCTCCCTTCTGCTTTATCTCATGTATCCTCATTACCCTCCTTTTCCTTAAAAATCTCTGTATCTTGTCTCTTCCCTTCTGGTTCTATGACCGCATGCACCCACACACAAACATACATATCCAAGTTCTTCATAAGAGAGGACATGCAGAATGTGTCTCTCTGAGTCTGGCTTTTAGAATACCTGTAGGAAATGCTGTATAGTAATCACTAGTTGTATTTTGAGTGTTTAATACCATTAATTAGCGATAAAATTCCAAGTGACTTGGGAGCTCAGTGGTACAACACTTGGCCTTCCATTTACAATGTTGGAACACAGTTCAAGAATAGAGTTGTACAGCTGGGCGGTGGTGGCGCACGCCTTTAATCCCAGCACTTGGGAGGCAGAGGCAGGAGGATCTCAGTGAGTTCGAGGCCAGCCAGCCTAGTCTACAGAGCAAGCCAAGTTCCAGGACAACTAGGGCTGTCTCAAAACACCAAAAAATAAAAAATAAGTACAAGGGGAATAGGGTTGTACAAGGGGAATTTTGAGTGCTTGTTAGAAAACTCCAAGAAAACAAGACAAGAATCTAGTGATCTGTTTCTTCAAAACCACAACATTGTTCTTGGAATGAGCTTTCATGCCCCTCCCAGGTGTAGCGGATAGGAGTGGGTTCACTTCAGATTATTCATTACAGCTGGCTATGGTTATTTGTTCATATGCCTCTAGGGAAAACATGGTTTTGCTGTGTGCCATTTGTCCTCGGGACTGGACACTTTACTCAGGTGACTTCTTAACCCTCAGAGTATAAACTGTCTGATGCTCTGAATAAAGTTGGCTACTGCAGGAGACTTTAGTCTGCCTCATTTTTAGGCCCTGCTCTCCCAGGTTCACACTACCAACTTCAGCAGTAAACAGACAAGGTGCTTAGTTTGATCCCTACACCACCAAAAAACAAAATTATAGAAACAAGTAGAAATGTAGACAGTGATCACCGATGGTTTTTTTTTTAAATCCTGATAAAAATTTCTTTCCGATGCCTAACCTGAAAGTATATACACTGCCAGACGGTGGTGGCACACGCCTTTGGTCCCAGCACTTGGGAGGCAGAGGCAGGGGGATCTCTGTGAGTTCGAGGCCAGGCTGGTCCAGGACAGGCACCAAAACTAGAGAAACCCTGTACATAGACTGACCTCATCACCCAAAAAATGCTGCTTAGAAATAAATCTAGATCCATTTTTTGCTGTTTTTCTTGTCTTTGTGAGTCTGGGTGCCTGTGGAGATCAGAGTGTGTTAGATGCCCTACAGCTGGAGTTACAGGTGGTTGTGAGCTACCACGTTAGTGCTAGGAAGCAAATTCCATTCCACTGCAAGAGCAGCAAGTGTGTTACACTGCTGAGCCATCTCTCCGGCTGCTTTTCTTTTTTAGACAGGGTTCCAGGCAGGCTTGGAACTCCTAAGCTTCCTTTGCCTGCCAGATACTGGGATTGCAGCTGTGCACTACCACACCCAGCTCCAAATCTGTTTTTTTTTTGTTTTTTTTTTTTAAGATTTATTTATTTATTATGTATACAGTGTTCTGCCTACATGCATGCTTGCAGGCCAGAAGAGAGCACCAAATCTCATTTCAGATGGTTGTGAGCCACCATGTGGTTGCTGGGAATTGAACTCAGGACCTCTGGAAGAACAGCCAGTGCTCTTAACCTCTGAGCCATCTCTCCAGCCCCCCAAATCTGTTTTTAAATGACAAAGATCATTGAGACTGAAACACCTCATCCACACAGAACCACTTCTCAAGAACGTTAAGTGCATGCCTTTAATCCCTGCATTTGGTGGGCATGCACCTCAGCTCAAGGTGACCTAAAGGCCAGCCTCGGTTAAATAGTGAGTTGGAGGCTATCCTGGGTTACAGGAGATTCTGTCACAAACAAGCAACCAAACAAAAAATGCCTTGTTACATACAGGTTTTAGTCACCTTTTCCAAGAGTTTATAGTGAATATTTGTCTTTATTGTACTCTTTACATATGGTCTTTACCTCATGAGCTGTAACATTAGCGAGCCAGACTGAGGAACTAAAAACGATGTCGATCGAGCAGTTCTGCAGGATGTCAGCACCACCAGCTCTTCCCGCACAGTCCTATTTCCATCCAAATGACAGGTGGCTTGTGTCACCATGACGTCTTGTGTGTTTTAAACCACATGAAGAGGGTCCCTGTCTGTCTCAGACAGGGTAATATTAATCTTATTCTCCAAGTGGACACCCAGCATTTCTTGAAGATCGGAAAGGAAGCCTCGTTCGGTGTTGCTGTGTTCACAAAGGATGACATTTATTCCTTTGGAGACAGCATCCAGAACATCATGGTGGGACATCTCACCTGCCCAGGGGGAAAGAGCAACGTCTGAAATCTTAGACATGGAGTGTGTGTATTCTGAACCACTGCAGCAGGGAGCCCGCATCTGTATTCTGAATGAATGAACGCAACAGCGCACCAGGTCCTGTGTTTGCTGCCCAGCACAGGAAAAGGAAGTTCAAACTACATATCACTGTATGGTGCTACGTCATGTCTATGTTCAGGAGCAAGAATACGGGAATGGGACAGAAGACAGATGGCATTGGGTGTGCTGCGTGTGTGTGTGTGTGTGTGTGTGTGTGTGTGTGTGTGTGTGTGTGTGTGTGAGTGTGTGAGTGAGATGTGCCCTGATGCATTATCGGGGGTCGGAAATCAGCTTTGAGAAGTCAGTTCTCTCCTCCCCTTGTGGCGTCTGGAACTGAAGTCCAGGCATCAGACTTGCAGAGCAAGTTTGTTTACCCCTGAGCCCAAAGCATGAATTTCATTTTGTTTCGTCTGTAATTTATTCTCATGGCCTGAACATAGTATCTGTAGTATTTTGAATGTGCCAGCATTTTTACTATAACCTGTCACATGAGTCTAGGTGTGGAATTTTCCTCTTATGCTTGTGTTAAAATAGTTTTGTAGCATTTTGTACATAAATACTTGATGCAGTATGCTGCCAAGAATAACCCTGTAATCCTAGAATTTGGGAAGCTGAGGAAGAGGATCAAGCATCCGGGCCAGCCTCAGCTAAATAGCTGGAGGCAATCCTGGGTTATAGGAGACCCGTCAACAAATAATCAGTTAAACAAAAAATGCCTTGTAGGTATTGTGGCTGGGCAGCGGTGGCGCACGCCTTTAATCTAATCCCAGTATTCCGGAGGCAGAGGCAGGAGGAGCCCTGAGTTTGAGACCAGTCTGGTCTACAGAGCAGGTTCTAGGACATCCAGAGCTACACAGGGAAACCCTGTCTTGAACAACCAAAAAGAAAGAAAAAAAGTTACTGTGAAGAGATACAGGGAAAACTCAAATATGTTGTAAATTTTTAAAAATATCATTTGTAAATTTGATGACTGAATTTGAGAACAAAAACATTGTGGGGGAGGAGAGATAATAATATGAATGAAACTCTGGAAATAATAAAGTGTGTGCCTGTGTGTTATATACAATTTGGTTTATAGAAAGTTAAACTTTAATCAGGGTTTACAGACATAAAGCCATTAAAATTTTTTTAAATGTTTGTTGTTTTGTTTTTTTGAGACAGGGTTTCTCTGTGTAGCCCTAGCTGTCCTGGAACTCACAGAGATCCTCCTGCTTCTGCCTCCCAAATCATGGGATTTAAGGTGTGTGCCATTAGATCCCAGCTAAATTTTTTAAATGTAAAAATAAGAAAAGTGTGTTCTTACTTGGAAAGTGAGCTGGCTGTTTTCAACTCTACACAATAGTATCAGTTCACTGTTAGGAATAGTTTGTATGCAAGCACCCTTTAAAATACCTTAACATTTTGGAATTGCTTGAACTTATCTTATACACATATTACTTTACAATTCTTAAGAACTAGATTGTTTTTAACTGTATGCATATGTATATTTGCAAGTACATGCCATGTATGTACGGGTGATGGAGGGCAGAAGAGGTGTGAGCAACTTTAATGAAACTCACTGGCTCCTAAGAAGAGAAAAGAGGAAGCGGTTGGGAAGGGAGAGGAGAGACCAGCAGACTGGACGGACAAGAGTGTGTTCAAAGTCCACGTGCATGAACCAGTCACAATGAAACCCGTCATGTATACTTAAAAAGACAGTGCCAGATAATAGAACGTAGATCAGGAGAAGCAGAACTGGTTAGAGCGCTGACCTGCTCCATGGTCGCTCTCACTTTTCACTGCCCTAAGGAACAGGTGGGCATGTGCTGTGGAAGCAGGTGACAAAGGAAAGGCACTTGGAAATGCCTCTAGTCCTCCGAACAGTGACAGGTGAAGGACGCTGCCTGTCCCTGTGTGTGCGCTTAGGGATTTCACACGTGATTCCTTCACTGTCATCAAGGTCACATAGCTCCTCAACTGAAGTTCAGGACTTCTCTCCAAGGCAGCCCTGACGCTCACCCCAGCTGTCTGTCGCCTCCCCACCATTCTTTAACAAGCTCATTTATCTGCTTGGCTTAAGGATCTAGTCAGGACAAATCCAAAGCCTTCCGTATGTGTGTAAAGGGTTTGGGTCTAAAGTGCAGACAGGCTGACACTTTACCTCCATGGTTCCTTGTCTAATCTCAGAACGAGGACATCCCTCTATGTGAACGTGCGAAATTAGTGCATTTATTAATTTCTCTCCCCCTCATGTTTTTAGACGGTCTTTATTGAACACAGAGCTCAGGAACTCACCTAGACCTAAAGCAAGGTTGAGGAAGAGATCCAGAAAGGTTCCTACCTGTGAGGTAAAGGTCAGCCTCCACTCCTTGTAGAACGCTGCCCCCAGAACCAGCACACAGGGCCACAACTTTGACTGGAGACTCTTGAAGACAAAAACAAGAGGTGTTATTATAGACAGAACCCTTCAGTTTAACACAAATCCTAACCCTAACGCAGACTGGCTAATCTCTTCACAAGTGTATGAATTATGCTGTATTGATAATTATGCTGTCACAGGACAGTCAGGGGCTACACTGCGAGACCTTGTCTCAAAAAATAAAACAATAGCCAGGTGGTGGTGACACACACCTTTAATCCCAGCACTCGGGAGGCAGAGGCAGGTAGAGCTGTGTGAGTTCGAGGCCAGCCTGGTCTACAGAGCGAATTCCAGGACAGCTAGGATTGTTTCACAAAGAAACTCTGTCTTAAAAAACCCAGATAGATAGATTGATAGATAGAGAGATAGACAATGATAGATAGATAGATAGATAGATAGATAGACAGACAGACAGACAGATTTAAAAAAAACTAAACCAAAAAGCAGGCATGGTGATGGCACATGCCTATAATCCCAGCATGTGTGAGGATAACCCTAAATTCGGGGCCAGCCAAAATTAGAACTTGAGCAGAACTAGTGATCCTCCTGCCTCAGCTCCACACATGTTCAGATTACAGGCATGTGCCAGCATGCCCAGCTCCAAAAACAATTTTATTTTAAATTTACGCAAACAGATCCATCTTTGGTTCTACACAGGGAACACAGGGCAGGCATTGTTCCTCTGAATGCAGCTGCACAAACCCATAAGCCTCTAAGCAACAGCAGAGTTGCAGCTCCAGGCTCCAGGCTCTGCTCAGTGCTAATAACAAACCTCAGCTGGTCTGCAGACCGAGGCAAGAGGGGAAGTTCTAGAAAGAGAAATGCAGAGCAGGAGAGATGGACGCTCAGTTTAAAAGCACTTGCTGCTCTTCCAGAGGACCCAGGTTTGGTTCCCAGCATCCATGTCTGGTGGCTCACCACCAACTTCAGCTCCAGGGGGTCTGACAACACACATGCAAACCCTCCAAGTTAAATAAATCTTCAAAAAGGAAAAAAAAAGCAGGATGTTACAAATGCGTCAGGCACCTCTTCCCCTCCTCCTTTTTAAAGACAGGATCTCAGGGTGTAGCCTTAGCTGTAACTCACTTTCTCACTTTGTAGACTCAGCTCAAGCACAGAGATCCACCTGCTTCTGTCTGGTGCTAGAAGTAAAGGCATGGACCACCACACCCAGCCCGGTCTAGAATTTTGACTCCATGATGTAAACCCCTCTGTTCCCACTGCAACAATGTTTATGACTGACAGACTTCCAGTGCTGACTGGAGATGAACACAGAAAACTAAGGAATTTTATCACTTAGGCTAGGGAGATGTAGTCCACATCAGAGCCCAGCCCACCCTGGTTGACAAGGTAGACCAATTATCTCCCTGAGCTACTAACGTGTTCTCTACCACGGACATGAATAAAAGCAGCACACACACTTGGGAGACAGAGGCAAAAGGAGTTTGAAGCCATCCTATGCTCTATGAGGTCAGGTGTCAAAAATAACCCAAACCAAATCTGTCCAAAGCACAGCAGATCTGCCAGGTGATGAAAGGTATTTACCCAAGGTCTTCCCTACTCCAAGAGCTAAGCGCAGGTGAGCCAGCTTTAGGTGTCCTTTGATTCGCTCTATCACTGTTACCAGGGAGACAGGTTCATCCAGGGTGCACAACCGGCCCATTCCGGTATTCAGAAGCAAAGGCTGAAGAGAAACACAAGTTAGAACATTATCTTTCTCCGGTCCAAAGAAATGTATAGAACAATTGGAATCAGTAAGATTTGTGTACATAAGCTCGTGATAGCTTAAGCTGAAGTTTGGGATACAAACCTAACAAGAACATCTAACTTCTGGGAGCTCACACCCTGCTAGATATTTAACACATATTTAAAACAAAGTTTTTAAATTCAAGGTCGGTGCTACTGTTACGGGAACACAAAGGAATGACAAGACAGCCTGGGGGCTGGAGAAAGGGGTCATCAAAAAGAGCACTTCGCTGCTCTTGCAGAGGACCCGGGTTTGGTACCCAGCACCCACACGGCATCTCACAATGACTTGTAAACTTCAAGGGATCCAACACCCTCTTCTGGCCTCTACAGCCACACACATACATGCAGACAAAACACTCGTATCTTAAAATAAAAAATAAATCTTTCTTTTAGAAGGAATGACGGAATGAGCTGGGACTGGAATCTTTGGTTTTACTGGGTCTTAGAACCTTGAGAAAACCAGAAAGGAGACAGAAATGGAGGGATGTCAAAGTGCATTACGACAGGATGGGGACCGGACATGGAAGGACATTCTAAACCAAGATGTGAGCAGTGTGGACAGAGGAAGCCCAGCTCAAAAGGTTTCAGAGGGAGCAATATTAGCAACTGGGTTAGACTCTATTCTTGGGATATGTGACAGAGAATGTGGCTGCTTTCTGCCTTGGTTAGTCTGCCTGAGGCTAAATCAAAAAGTTTTGGTAGAGGAGATTTTAAGACAGTCTGTTACTTGGTTACTAGTTATTACTCTTATGCACATCTACAATGAAAAAGGGCACACAGGGCAGAAGGAAATACAAAACGCAGTTTGAAGAGAACACCACCACGGAGTGTAATGCTCGAGCCCAGAGATCGGGAGAGGACTGATGTGAAACGGAGGCGGGCGCCCTCAGGGGAAGACCCCACCCGGTTAAGCTTCCAACCTTTGAAACCACCTAAGGGATTTTCTGCTCCTAAAAAGACCACGAGGCTTCTGCAGATGTGATTTAAGGGGGCCAGGCTCCACCTCAAGTGGGCAGCTGAACTTGGCAGTGTTGTCCATATAGCTCTGGCTTTAGGATCATGAAGGGTTGCTGTGAGATAATGCTCTTGTACACTGGTTTAATAAAATGCTGATTGGCCAGTAGCCAGGCAGGAAGTATACGCAGGATAAGCAGACAAGGAGAATTCTGGGAAGAGGAAGGCTGAGGAGGAGATTCCAGCCTGCTGTCCGGGGAGCAACATGTAATGGCACACAGGTAAAGCCACTGAACACTTGGCGACATATAGACTAACAGAAATGGGCTGAGTTTAAGGGCAAGAGCTAGTCAGTAGTGAGCCTGAGCTACAGGCCGAGCCGTTTTAATTATTATAAGCCTCTGTGTGTTTACTTGGGTCTGAGAGGCTGTGGACCGGACAGGACACAGAAAACCTTCCAGCCACAAAGGGTCCACCACTAAAGACATCAAGGAGTCTTCCTCCACAGCTATGGAGAGCCACTGAAGCCAAGTGGGTGGCAGGAAAGTCCCTGCGTGGAGCACTGAGAAGCCATTTTGCAAACTTTTACAAATGAAGCCTGGGTTGCATTAGATCCCCAGGATGCTGGAGATGTAGAGCCAGGGGGATACCTGCCGAGGAGAGCTGCAGACAGAATAGAACCAGTTCAAGAGAGTGACGGCTAAAATAACGTTTTAAGTTTGAATCACTGTGCTTAAGAGATCCATAAAATAAAAATGCCTCTAACCAGTAAGCCCCACTTGCGCAAGGAGAGAGAACTTCCTGGAATGCTGGGGGCTGTTCATGTAAGATGACAAGCACATGTTTTCACGTCTGTAAACCAGGCTGGTTGTCCTAACTGTGCAGGATGTGCTTGATCACACACAGGCAAGGAGTACATCAGGATGTGTTCGGTCCCCTGACTGGATGAAGATGGGAAGTATACAGCCTTGTGGGTTTTGCCTTTATAAGCACCGACTAATATAATCTGGGCCAGTCTCTGGGAATCCCATACAGGAACCTAAACAGTGTCCATTGTCCTGGCCAGTATTTAATAAACCTTGCTTCAAATTTGAGTCAAAAACTGTGGTAGTGGGGCTGGAGAGATGGCTCAGCGGTTAAGAGCACTGGCTGCTCTTCCAGAGGCCCTGAGTTCAATTCCCAGCAACCACATGGTGGCTCCCAACCATCCGTAATGAGATCTGGTGCCCTCTTCTGGCGTAAAGACACATGCAGGCAGAACACTGTGCACAGAATAAATCAATCTTAAAAACAAACTGTGGTGGTGGTCTTATTCTCATCTGGCGGATCAACAAGAGAAGTGTGTTGCAATCTGCAAAGCCATAAGGGAGGAGCCATCCAAGTCCTTTCACACCAGACACGGAGCTACAGGATTTGGAATTGGCCTTGAAGGGCTCCAGGCTGGCTTTGTTCCAGTATTTCCTCACTATGTCCCCACTCCTCCTTTTTGGAATGGTAATGTATATTCTATGTCATTGTACGTTGGAGGTATGTAATTTGCTTTTTTAGTTCATAGGGGGTTACAATTAAAAGATTGCCTTGAGTCTCAGTGTGGTGGTGGTTTGAATAGAAGTGGCCTCCATAGACTCAGGTGTGTGAATGCTTGGCCCACAGGGAGAGGCACTATTAGGACTTGTGGCCTTGTTGGAGGAAGTCATGGTGTCTCTTTACAGCAGGAAAACCCTAACTGTGGCACTCAGAAAAGACATTGAACTTTGGACTTTTAAAAAGTATTGAGACTGTGAAAGATTATGGGAACTTTAGAAGTGAGATTAAATGCATTTTTCCTGATGACATGGCCATGAGCCTATAGGGACCAACACGTTGAATGTAGTAGTTTGGGTGAAAATAGCCCCACCCCAAAGGTTCAAGTTTGGGAAAGATTAGGAGGTGTGGTCTGGTTAGAGGAGGTCACTGGGCGCAGGCTTCGAGGTTTCAAAAGACTCAAGTTATTTCCAGTGTTCCCCCTCTGCTTCCTACTTGTGGATTGAGATGTGAGCTACCAGCTGTTCAGGCCGCCATGCCTTTTCTCTGCCCTCTCTAGCCCTTTGAAACTGTAAACCCAATCACACACTTATTGTCTTTTTTGTAAGCTGCCTTGGTCATGGTATTTTGTCACAGCAACAGAAAAGGAACTAATATGGGAGGGTGATGAATATCCAGGTCTAAAACCACGAAGATGAAAGAACGATGCTTTCCTAATCCTAGACTATCTCCTCACAATAAAGTTTCCAGGAATACGTCCTCACCATACTTGGTGCTTGTGTGTGTCTGTATGTGCACACTCAGTCTGTTCTCTCCATCTGTGAGTTCTCTGAATCACACTTACGTGGCCAGGCTTGACCACAGCCACCTTTACCTGTTGAGCTGTCTTGCTGGCCCTTGATGACTGTTTGACTTAATAGTTGACAAATGAATCTGCAGCACAAGAACAATAGTAACGCAATCTGCCAACATTCACACATCACTCAACACCCAGGATCTGCATGCCAGTCATTCACACATTCAACACACACAGGATCCACATGCCAGTCATGGCCAACATTCACACATTCAACACACAGTATCCACGTTAGTCATGGTCAACACTCACACATTAAACACAAAGGATCTGCATGCCAGTCATGGCCAACACAGCTGTCACAATGCTCAGCAACACGAGGGCAGAAATACCTTCTCCAGTGACAGAATTTCAGTTTTCTGATAAAGTTGTCTGTTCTGGGAGAGAAAAGCTAGCACCTGCATCAAAGCCTTCTGAGTACAATTCAGGCTGATCCGTGTGTGTTCCTCGTCATCACACCTAGAAAGAAATCAGCTGTTTGACTAAAGTAAAGTATTTTAAATACCCGACAGTCTATAACCTGCTACAAACATTTACATTAAACCAAAGATGTGATCAGCAGAACTTGCTCAATCCCAACCAATAGTGTTCTCAGACTGTAGCTGCCTCGGAACCCTCTGACATTTAAGCCTACCAGCTTAAAATAACAGTGGCTAAATCCTTCAACATGTCCAGTAAAATAGAACATCTATAGTCAGAGACAGAAAAAATGGAAAATGGAAATTTTATTTTTTTACACGTATGTGTGTATGCACATGTGTATGTGCGTACATAACACAGTATGCACATGTCACGGTGTAGGTGTGAATCAGAGTAAATCAGAGTATAATTCGTGGGAGTTGATTTCTTCTTTTTTTTTTTCTTAAATATTTATTTGTTTGTTTGTTTATTTATTTATTTATTTAATTGCACATTTGTCTGTGTGAGGGTGTCAGCTCCCCTGGAACTGGAGTTACAGACAGTTGTGAGCTGCCATGTCGGTGCTGGGAATTGAACCAAGGTCCTATGGAAGAGTAGTTGGTGCTCTAAACCACTGAGTTATCTCTCCAGCCCTCTGATTTCCTCTTTCTACCATGCAGGTCCCAAGGATCAAAACCAAGTCCCATCAGGCTTGGCAGCAAGTGCCTTCACCCTCCGAGGGTAATTTTCAATGCCTGAATCCAAATTATACAGAATAGGAATGAAGCCGCAAATCTGCATTGACAGTAAGTACCCATGAAGGACAGACAGACAGACAGTCCTTTAGCCACATTCTGAGAGGCAGGGCACTAGGGATTCTCAAAACAAAGCGCTGTTGAGAGTCTTACAGATAAGCATGGGGCCACGTGCCTGTAACTCCTCCACTCAGGAGGCCAAGGCAGAAGGACTGTGGTGAGTTCAAGGCCAGACAGCACCATAGAGCCAAACCCTGCCTCCAAACAAAAACAATACACTGAGTTTTAGTGACCACAGAATTCTAGAAACAAAAAGGCACCTTAGAAGGTAATCTGACCCGGTGGGTAGCACATGCCTACAATCCCAGCACTTGGGAAGGAGAGGCAAGATCAGGAGGTAGAGGCCAACCTGGGCTACATGAGACTCAGGCTACCTCCAAGTCAAGTGTAGTGATGAACACCTTTGATCCTAGCTCTTGGAAGGCAGAGGCAGGGGGTTCTCTGTGAGTTCAAGGCCAGCTGGGTCTATATAACAGCAAGGACTACAGAGGAGACCATTTCAAAAACAAAACCAATAAACAAAACAAAAAGACAAAGTCAAACAAACAAATGGTCTGGAGAGATGGCTTAGCGGTTAAGAATGCCTGTGCTCTTTGCAAAGAACCAGAGTTCAGTTCCCAGCACCCATAGCACGCCATTTGTTAAAAAAAAAAAAAAAAATGTGTGTGCCCGGTGTGGTGGCGCACATCTTTAATCCAGCACTCTGGGGGCAGAGGCAGGCAGATCTCTGTGAGTTTGAGGCCAACCTGGTCTACTTAAGAACTTCCATGACAGCCAGAGGTATATAGTGAGATAGTGAGACCCCTGTGTCAAAAATAAATAAATAAAACCAAAACAATATGTAAAACAAAACTATATTTCTTTATATTCCTATCTATGTGTGGTTGGAGGAATACCTACTTCTCAGCGGGATGGGGTGACACATGCCTGTACCCTAATACCTGAAAGGCCGAGGTAAAAGGGTCAAAAGTTTGAGGCCGTTGTGGGCTCCAGAAGCAACAGAAGTCCCTAGTTCTCTGTAAACAGGGAAGGGATTATTTGGATTGAGTCTTTTTTTTATTCATTAGGGGTGTGTGTGTGTGTGTGTGTGTGTGCGTGCGTGTGTGTGCATGTGTGCGTGTGTACGTGTGTGAGTGTGTGTGAGTGTGTGTGTGTGTGCGTGCGTGCGTGCGTGTGTGTGTGTGTGCGTGTGTGTGTGCGTGTGTGCGTGTGTGTACATGCACACCATAGCACACGTGTGGATGTCAGAGGACAACTTTTGGGACATGGTTCTCTCCTACCACCATGTGGGTCCAGGGAGCAAACATGAGGCTGAGCAGTAAGCAACTATACCCACTGAGCCATCTCAAAAGCTGTTGTTTAGATTTTTAGATGTTTAATTTTAATTTTTTTTTTTTGATTTTTCGAGACAGTTTTCTGTGTAGCCCTGGCTGTCCTCAAACTCAGAGAGATCGCCTGCCTCTGTCTCCCAAGCGCTGGGGTAAAGGCATGTGCCATCATGCCCAGCCTTGTGTGAATTTTTTTAGTGCTTTATTTTCAATTTATTTATTTTTTTATTTAAGTATTGCATGGTACTTCAGTGTGGCGGAATACTTCCTGTGATATCAAACTACTCCGTGTTCCAAGAATGATGGTGTTTTTAGAGTCTGGAAATACCATCCAAACTACTGTAGGATATTTGTAATGATTTTATGATTAAAAAAAAAAATCTATATTAATGCAGGGGGATGTAGCTCAGTGGGAGAATGCTTGTCTACAATGCATAAAGCAAAAGAAATCTATACTTAACCATTATTCTGGGCTGGAGAGATGGCTCAGCAGTTAAGAGCACTGGCTGCTCTTCCAGAGGACCAGGGTTCAATTCCCAGCACCCACATAGCAGTTCACAATCGTCTGTAACCTCAGTTCCAGAAACTCCAACACCCTCACACAGACATGTGTGCAGGCAAAATGCCAATGCACATAAAATAACAATAATAAAAACCATTATTCCAGCCGGGCGGTGGTGGCGCACGCCTTTAATCCCAGCACTCGGGAGGCAGAGGCAGGCGGATCTCTGTGAGTTCGAGGCCAGCCTGGACTACCAAGTGAGTCCCAGGAAAAAAAAAAAAGGCGCAAAGCTACACAGAGAAACCCTGTCTCGAAAAACCAAAAAAAAAAACCATTATTCCACTAGGTGTGGAGACACATCTGTAATCACATTTCTATATGAAATGTCTCAGCATCCATTTTCCTGTTTATATTTGTGAACATCCATACATAACCTTCAGATGCCCTTTGGCATACTAAGGCAGAAGGGTTGTGAGTTTGAGGACAGTTTGGACTAAATAGTGAGACTTTTTCACAAACAAACAAAACCCAAAAAACAAAAACAAAAAAAATCCATAAACAATCCATGAATCAAATCGATCTCTTCTTGTAACCCTATATAGATTTCAAGTTCAATAAGAAATCATTTATCTTTGTTTTAAAAACAATTGTTGGGGCTGGAGAGGTGGCTCAGAGGTTAAGAACACTGACTGCTCTTCCAGAGGACCTGAGTTCAATTCCCAACAACCACATAGTGGCTCATAATCATCTGTAATGAGACCTGGTGCCCTCTTCTGGCCTGTAGGCATACATGCAGACAAAACACTGTATATGTAATAAATAAATCTGGAAAAAAAAAATTATTAAGTCCTACTTTTGTGTATCTTGCTGCCTTTCCTTTCCCGTTTTTTTTTTTTTGGTTTTAATTACAATGGAGGGGAGGGGCATGTGCATGTGGGCAGTGGAGGTCAGAGGCCAACTTGCAGGAGTGGGTTCTCTCCCCAGCATGTGGGTTCCAGGGACTGATCTCAGGCCATCACTCTTGGCTCAGGTACTTTTACCCACTAGGCCATCTCACCAGCCCAGCCTTTTCACTCTCTCTCTCTCTTTTCCTGGTGGTGCTAGGATACCAGAGCCCACACATCATAGGCATGTGCTCTACCACTGATAAACCCCCAATCTTTACGTTCCTGATGCTTCCATGGGTATCAGAATGAACTGGCTGAGAAAGTCTCTCTTACCCTACTTTTAAACAACCAAATGATGGACCTTCTCAGAGGCACTTTCATTTCAAAGTGCTTGGGAATCACAGTTTTACTGGAAACTGGTAAAACTGAGCCTTACATGAATACATCACTAGGGTCTGACTACATCCTTCAAAGTCAAAACAATTCCCTTTCAGTACTACCAGGAAAGTCCAAACTGCTTTATGTAGGGCTGCAGGGATGGCTGCTCTTGGAGAGCGCCCACACAGTGGGTCAGGACTGTCCGCATCTCCAGTCTCAGGGGATCCACTGCCCTCTTCTGGCCTCCCTGGCCCCAGGCACACATGTGGATCACAGATATAAGTACAGACGAAACTCCCATATGCATAAACAAAACTAAAAAAGAAAAAGAGCCAGGAGTAGTAGCTCCCATCTGTCACCCCAACACTTGGAGGCAGGGGCAAGAGTCTGCAGCCAGCCTGCAGACATCATGAGACCCCGGCTCAAAGAAAAACTAAAGCAAACGAACCAAACAGAGAAGGGGCAGCGCAGTGAGATGGTTCGGGGGTGAAGATTCTTACTGCTAAGCCTGCGTGACGTCATCCTGTGGAACCCATGCAGCGGTGGGAGGGAACTACTTCCCCCAAGACATCTTCTGACCTCCATACATGCACTATGGTACACATCTGTCCACGCAAATACACACACTAAATAAATAATATAAAACAAGCTTTTAAAACAGAGGAATGTATGATGTACCTAGCGGAAAAAGAAGTGACAGAAACCTCTCCAATTCCTTTCACTGCGGACACGACTTTGTCCAGGTCTTGGGTGTGGTTCACACTGACTTCTACTCGGTGGGCCCCCTCTGTGGGATAGTTAGGAGCTTTGGAGGGGTGGATGGGCCTGGCAGTGCAAGTTCCTGAGGAAAAAGTTGTGGGGAAATCAAGGCTTTTGTAGTGCTTTAGAACTAAAGAGATAAACTATTCTAAGTAAAATCTATATGAAATGTCTCAGCATCCATTTTCCTGTTTATATAGTGAACATACACACATAACCATCAGATGCTCATCACTATATCTAAAGATCTGGTCTAGACATACAAAATAAAATTTTCACAATTATTTTCCAAAGACTCATATTTCAGGAAATCTTGGACAAAAAAGACTGAATCACTGATTTTTTTTTTTTTAATTATCCACTGTTTGGTCATTCAAACCACAGTATAGATAACAAATACTTATAAATTGAACACATTTATAATGACCATTTTATTATCAAGGCATCACAGTCCAAGGCCAAGTGTGGTGGTACACACCTTTAATCCCAGAACTGGGGAGTCAGAGGCAGGTGGATCTCTATGAGTTTGAGGCCAGCCTGGTCTACATAGTAAGTTCCAGGTTAGCCAAGGCTACACAGTGAGATTGTCTCAGAGAAAAAAAAAAAAGGAAGAAAAGAAAAAAGAAAACAAAGAACCAAACCAAACAACAACAAAATGACTTTAGCCCAAACAAAATTACTTTAGCCCAAATTGAGTATCAAAATGCTCACGGTGCCGGATGTAAGCGTTTAGTGAGATCCTGATGCTGTGCTGGGTGTGGTCGACATACTCATTCTAGCCTGGGAAACTGAAGCGGGGGATCCCAGCTTGAGGCCCTTCTCTAGGTAAGGTGGGGGCCGGCAGTGGTGGCTCACTGGAGAAAGGTACTTGTCACATAAGCCTCATGACCTGAGTTCAGTTCTGGGAACCCATGGTGGAAGGAGAGAACCCACTCCTGAAAGGTGTCCTCTGACCTCCACAAATGTGCGCTCCCACAGTCACACAATAATAACAAAGATACATAAAGAAAAGCAAAACAACAGCAAACCAGACAGAAATCTTGGTGTCTATGTAACTGACGCAGCAGGTGTATCCCGAAGGTGCTGAGCTTTGATTCTAGAGCTGTGAGCACCCGCCCGGGGTGCTGACACTGTCATCTGACTGACAGTCATGATGTCCACCTAGCAATGACGCCTCACACTCTGCTTATTCACCCCAGTGCTGGCTACGTTTGGTCAGCTTGTCACGAGCCAAGGTCATCTGGGAAAAGGAAACTTCAACTGAAAACAATGCCTCCATCAGACTGCCTGGAGGCAAGTCTGTGGGGCATTTTCTTGATTAAGGGTTGATGTAGGAAGAAGACCCAGGACCCTGAGTAGGTGGTCCTGGGTTCTATAAGAAAGCAGGCTAAGTGAGCCACGAGGGGCAAGCCAGTGAGCAGTGTTCCTGTGTGGCCTCTACTTCAGTTCCTGCCTCCAGGTTCCTGCCCTGAATTCCTTTTATGATGGGCTGTAAGATGAAACAAACCCTTTCCTTCTCAAGGTGCTTTTGGTCATGGTGTTTACCCCAGCTATAAAAAGCAAATTAGGACAATCCTCTACATATCAAGCCAGCCTGAGCAGCATGAGACTCAGTAGCAAAACAATAAAAATGTTCCATGGTTTGTTTTGCTTATGTTTTGGTGGGATGATATGTGATGTGATTTAGGCAGTGTTTGGCTACATAGCTCAGGCTGGCCTTAAACTGAAGCTCTCCTGATTCAGCTTCCTGGATGCTTAAAGAATAAGATTGTGGAGTACAGGCTTCTCCCACACCAAGCCTAATTTACAATGTTACATTTTTCTTTCTTAAAAGATTTTGTTTAAATTTATTTATTTCATTATTTTTATGTGTACAAGTGTTCTGCCTGCATTATGTGTATGCATCATGTGTATGTGTCCACAGAGGTTAGAAGGGCATTGGTTCCCTTGGGACTGGGGTTACCAACGGTTGGGAGCCTCCATGTGGCTGCTGGGAACCCAGGTCCTCTGTAAGAGCAACCAAAAGTTGCTTAACTGCTGAGCCAATTCTTCAGCCCCTATAAATCGTTCATTTTTCAAATGAAACTTGGGCTGGAGAGCTGGTTCAGCAGTGGAGAGTACTACTTGCTCTTGCAGGGGACCTGGGCTTGATTCCCAGCACCCACACAGAACTTCACAACGGTAAGGGAGGTTGGCCCCCTCGGAGTCGGTACAGGACATAACTAGACAGGACATTCTCAGCACAGAGGAGCTTTATTTCCTGGGGGAGGAGCTCTGCAAACATCAGCAAGAGCAAACACACTCAAGCAAGCAGGTGTTTTTTGCAGAAGTGGGTTTTAAGGAGAAAAAGGTCTGTGCTAGGGTGAGTAGGTAAATCCTGATTGGACATGTTAGCCAAATAATGAATTTTGATGGTTGGACCTTGGTGTGTTGTCTCAGGAATGAGTCAGTGGCCAAATAAGGAAATGGATTTCAGGGGCTAGCTTTAGGAATGTAATCTAACGGTTTAGCAAGGGGAGAAGGATAAAAGGCAAAACCTGTTGGCCCCACGCGTGCCGAGCTCGGCCGCTACAGCCCTTCATCAACTGACTGTAACTCCAACTCAAGAAGATCCGGCACTCTCTTCTGGCCTTCATGGGCCCTGCACACATGTGGTGCACTCACATACAAGCAGACAAAACACTTAACAGATATAAAAATAAATACATTTTCAAATGAAACTTAATTACCAAATTTAAGCAACACATTATTTTATAAATAATGTACTATAATAAAAATAGAAAAACCCGTTTCCCCGAAAAAAAAAAAAATTAAAACTTTACTAGGAAGACATTCTAAAAATCTCGAAGTATCTGTAGAGAAATCATTAACTATGGAAGGATACAATGTTTCTCACCAAGCCCTTTGGCCAACCAGCTGTTGACTCCCTGGGGTGCGGCATCATAGGCCGTGTGCGGGGAGTAGATGGCGACCCTGTTCTCCAGCGCCCGGATCACCAGGCGCTCCTTCCAGGTTTTCCAAGTTATGCGCTTCATGGCCCGGAAGATCGGTGGATGGTAGGAGAGAATGAGGTCCGCCTTCTTTTGCAGAGCCTCCTCCATGACCTCCTCCGTCAAGTCGTTGGTCAGGAAGAGGGTCTTTACAGTATGGGGAGGGCTCGGTTCCACCAGTAATCCCACATTGTCCCAACTCTCAGCAAAGGAGAGGGATGCAAAGTCGTTCAAGGAGGAAAGGAGAGCCTTCAGATCCATGAAGGAACGAGAAGAATTGCAGATCCAGGACGGGGCAAGCCGGATGCTCGTAGAGACCAGCTGTGCAGAGGGCAGCATATAGAAACCAGGTAAACGTGTCTGGAGTCAAAACACAGGAAGTGGTATTTACGTACTTAGAGGCATAAAGTACATGAGTAAAAAAACTGTCACCAAGACTCAGATTCAAATGGTGGCTGAGCTAAGTCATTTGACCTTTTAACTTTTTTTTTTTTTTTGAGACAAGGTTTCTCTGTGTAACAGTCCTGGCTGTCCTGGAACTCACTTTGTAGACCAGGCTGGCCTCGAACTCACCGAGATTCACCTGCCTCTGCCTCCCGAGTGCTGGGATTTAAAGGCATTCACCACTACCACCAGCCGGCTTTTGGTTTTTTTTTTTTTTTTTTTGAGACAGGGTTTCTCCATGTAGCCCTGGCTGTCCTGGAACTCGATCTGTAGACCGGGCTGGAATCAAACTCACAGAGATCCAATTGTCTCTACTTCCCGAGTGCTGGGATTAAAGGCGTGCACTACACGCCTGTGAATGAGAACTCCTGGAAAGAAACTGTCTTCTGAGACGAACGGACTGGAACTACAGGGCAGTGGAGAGACTGAGCTGTTACACGTCTAGAGCCTAATTCCTGGGCTACCTTTAGCCCTCTGCACAGCCGCTTGCTATTCAATTTCAAGTTGCACGAGAGCTCTCTTCAAGCTCTCAGGGTTCAAGGCCGTGTCCAGAACAATCAAGGGCCATAGGGCACAGCCTTTAATCCTCGAGTCAGGACCCTCTCCCCTCCAGCAGCCAGGGAGTGTTCCGCCCCAATCTCTCCCGCCCTCATCCTCCGCGGCACCCGATCATCACTGCGGCCCGCCCTGACGTGCAACTTCAGCGAGGGGAGCCGAGAGCCCCGCGAGCCTTCCACTCACTCGCCCACTACTCACCAGCCCCAGAAACTCTCCTGTGCGTCACTTCCGCTCTGCCCCGAAGCTCCGGGCAAGGTAGGAAAGAAGTTGGGCGGAAGTGGTCCCGTGCGTTTTGCTTCCGACTCCGGAGACCTGTATGGGGTTGCAGGGGGGCGGTAGGGGGTCGTTTCTTAGTGTGGCTGTCGGTAAAGCCCTCTCGCTGTCAGATGCGGGGCCGCGGGGTGAGGTAACCCCCGAGTCCTCGGCGGTGTGCTGAGAGGGGAGACTGACGGGGAAGTAGGCGTTCTCTGGGAGGCCCCACCCCCCCGCTCCACTTCCGGTGGGGCCGAACCTCTCAGTTGGAACCCGCAGACTCGCCGGCGCCTGCGATGAAGTCTTTTCGGTTTCCGCAGCGGCGGTGCTGAGCCAAGTGTGTGAGTGTGCGGTAACGGCGTTTGTCCTTTCATTCGCGCACTCGGTGCCTGCTGCACCCCACCTGGGCGCCGTTTTTATTTCTTGGGATCCTCGCGGTGAACTCTCGGGCTGGAGAGGATGTTTCTGGGACCTTAGATGCAAGAATGTCCTGTTAGCTAGTGACCACGGCTATGGGAAAAGCACATAGGGAGGGCGTGCGGGGAAAGCGCTTTTAAATACGATTGTCAGGTTGGTAAGAGTCGGGGCTTGAAAAAGACTATGAAGTGTGGAATTTATTGTACAAGCGTCTTGAGTACAGTAGGCGTCCTGGGTAAAGGGAGCGCCAGTACCTCGCTAGACCAGTAGACCCCAAGGTGGGAATATGTCTAGCCTGCAAAAAGAGCCTTGAAGAAAAATGAGCTAAGTAAAATGTTTGGTGGTGGCGGTGGTGGTGTGGTTCTCTGTTGGGTGGGATCGCACCACTGCTATGATCGGATTTTTATTTAAGAGGATGCTAGTGTAAGCTTTTCGTTGTAAATCTACCGTAAAGATGAACAAGTATGGTGGGAAAGATAGGGTTCACACGAACTAATTCCTCTTTCTTTTTGGATTGGAAACTCGTCTTCAGGTTTTCTCTGCAAGGCTTTCTGGAACCATCAAGAGGGAAGATGGTAAGTGTTGTAGAATTATGCTAAGTGGGTGGGTGGTTGCTTGTTTTTATCCCCCGTCGGATTCCCTGGAGCTGGGGCCACCACTAGCAGGTGTGGGTGCTGGGAACCGCACAGGTCCGCCTGTGACAGCAACAAGTGCTCTTCACTGCCAGGGCATCTCTGCAGCCCATTATTTTTTAATTATGAATATTTTTTTAGGAAGTCCGACAGGGTACTGAGTGTGTAGCTCCGTGGTGTGTGTACTAGGGTAGAGGGAACAGAGTAGGATAAGTAGGTATGATCATCACAGCATTTTCCTACTGGGGTGGTGGCACGCAGGGGGCTGGGGCAGGAGTATTGTGAGACCAGCCCTGGCTTCACAAGGACTGACTCAATGAATGAATGAATGGCTGGGGCAGGAGTATTGTGAGACCAGCCCTGGCTTCACAAGGATTGACTCAATGAATGAATGAATGAATAAAAAGGGAAACCTCCAAATATTTTTTTGTTTGTCTCTGAAATAAGATATGAAAAAAGTAAAGTTACTAAGCAGAAAAGGACAGGCAAGTGAGAAAGCCCTGTGGCCGGCTCCACGCACTAGGACTCGGAAATGCTGACTTCTGGTTTGTTGTTAGTAAATGAAGGAACTGCTTTTTAACTCTGTTTCTCAAAATTAAACTGCCCAAAGGAAGTGGTGGAAATAGTTTTGAAAAATCAATTTCTTAAACATTTTCTCAGTTAAATATTAATGATATGGAGACCTAAAGGTCAGTAATAAAAGTCGGGCAGTGGTGGCACACGCCTTTAATCCCAGCACTTGGGAGGCAGAGGCAGGCGGATCTCTGTGAGTTCCAGGCCAGCCTGGTCTACAGTGAGTTCCAGAACAGCTAGGGCTACACAGAGAAACCCTGTCTCTAAAAGCAAAAAATAAATAAATAAATAAATAAGTAAATAAATGTAACCATTGTTTTTAATACGTTTTTAATCATAAAAAATTCAAAATAAAAATAATTATTTTGACTAAATGTTTGCATCCAAAATTTAGCAGAGATGCCACTTTTCATCTATGTGAATCTTCTAGAGATTATTTTTTTTTGCTATTGAAGTAAACATGGAGAAATGATTGTGATTTATCTGTCAGAGCCACTTAATGTGAACAAGTCATCTTTAATATCTTTAATCAGATAGCCACCTTGAATATCCAGTCAGAAATAATACAGAACTTATGTTACTGGAAAAAATATCATTTGTCCTCACATTCTCCGTTTTCAGTCTGTAACACTGCATACGGATGTGGGGGATATCAAAATAGAAGTCTTCTGTGAGAGGACACCCAAAACATGTGAGGTGAGTGTCATTGTTTGCATATTAAAAATCAACTATTATGGTGGCTCGGCACTCGGGAAGCAGAGGCCAGTGGATCTCAGAGTTTGAGGCTAGCCTGGTCTACAGAGTGAGTTCCAGGCCCGGCAGAGCTGTATCGTGAGACCCATCCTTAAAACAAACAGAAACACTCTCATATAACAGGACAGCCACTTTGAAATTGTATCATTCAGCCTAGAAAGTAAGAAAACTTTCTGCGAGCCCCACTACCAGCAATAGCTCACCATCATGGAGGTCTAACCTCCACTTCTGACATCAGAGCTAAGTAAAAGAAAGGAGGATGGTTTGGGGGCGACTCAGCAGCATGAGGACCAGAGTTCAAAATCGCCAGAACTCACAGAAAATGCTGGTGATCACGCTCACCCGTGGGGGGTGGGGGGTGGGGGGTTGTGGGGGGACACAAAGATAAGAGGATTACAAGGTCTGGTACACCAGCCAGGTGCAGGTTCGGTGAGAGACCCTGTCTCAACGGGAAGAGGTTGAGGGTGATAGATTACTCATCCTTCTCTTGCGTCTGCGTATGCACACACACGAATGCATATACCACAGGCACACCACACATACTAAATAAATATAAATAGGTAGGTGCTTCTCCTGTAACCATAAAGTGTCCAGTATCTTTTCTCTTTTGCCTCATTTTTTCAGGAAATGTAATTAAGATATAAGAGACTTGTTCTGTAAATACTTACTTAGCCTGTTGAAATGACAAGGATAAAAGAAGAGTCAACTATTTTTTCATTCATGCAGTTATCTGTCAAAAGACTCTCCAGCCATGTCTAGGGTACAGTGATGAGCAAGAGACATCATTCCCTGCCCTCAGAGAGCTACTGCTCAGCTGGGAAAGGCAAGGGTAGGAAACCAGGTAACTGCAAGAGAGAACAGTGCCATGGAGAGTGCAGGACAGGGGCACGCAGGGCTTCCCAGGACCTGCTCAAGATTGACTGTCTTATCCCCAGAGACAGTGGCTAATGCCTAATGGACCTTTATCTGCTGAAGTTTGTTTCTGCCTAAACCATTTCTCAGTCATTGTTTTTATTCTCTTCAGAATTTCTTGGCTCTTTGTGCCAGTAATTACTACACCGGCTGTGTATTTTCATAGGAACATCAAGGGTTTCATGGTTCAAACGGGAGATCCCACAGGTGAGTTTTCCACTACCTGAAATTAGGATGGTTGGATATGTCATAAGAAAAAAAATGTGTAAAATAACTGAAAAACAGGATCTTTATAACAAGGCTACTTTGACCATCACAGAAAAGCTTAGGGGGTTTTGTTTTTTTAAAGATATGTTTATTTTTAGGCCGGGCTGTGGTGGCGCATGCCTTTAATCCCAGCATTCGGGAGGCAGAGGCAGGTGGATCTCTTCTTGAGTTTGAGACCAGCCTGGTCTACAGAGCGAGAGCCAGGACAGGCTCCAAAGCTGCACAGAGAAACTGTCTAGAAAACCATATGTATGTGTATATAAGTACTTTGCCTATATGTATATAAGTGCAATGAATGCCTATCTGGTGACTGCTCAGGCCAGCAGATGGTATCAGATCTCCTGAAACTGGAATTTTGGATGGTTTTGAGCCAACCATGTGGATGCTGGGAATTGAACCCAGGACCTCTGTAAAAACAGCAAGTGTTCTTTTTCTTTTGAGATTGTATTTTAATTAGAACATTACTCCTTTCCCTTTCATCCCCACCCCCCCAAACCTACCATGTGCTCATCACTGGTCTCCTTTCTTGTCACCGGTTGTTACTGCATGCATGCATGTATTTGCATGTAGTTGTATGTATTTGTATGGACATATTATCCAGGCTAGTTTTTTCGTCAGCAGACACACGCTAAAGCAGAGGTTCCTTTCACAGGAGGGGAGGAGGTGTTGCCTAAGACCATCAGAAAACATGTTTATATTACAGTTCATAACAGTAGCAAAATTAGTTATGAAGTACCCACGAAAATAATTTTATGGCTGGGGGTCCCCACAACATGAGGAACTGTATTAAAGGGTTGCAGCCTTCGGAAGGTTGAGAACCGCTGAGCTAGAGTCATCAGAGGAGAGAGCCTCACTTGAGGAAATGCCTCCTCCATAAGATCATTCTGTAGGCAAACCTGGAGGGCATTTTCTTAATTAGTGATTGATGTGGGAGGGCCCAGCCCCCAGCCCATTGCCCGTGGGGACATCCCTTCCCAAATATAACCCATTGAGTCTGTACAGTGTTACTTGTACGAAAGTCTTCAGGGCTGAGCACTTGGTACTGGACAACCAGTTGGCGTGCTCTCCCCTGGGGAGACCACCTCCCCTGCTCCCAGCTCTCCTCCGTTCTCCGTAGGGCTGACTCCTCAGGGGCTCTCCCCCTCCTTCCCTCTGTGAAGTTTGGCATGTTGTTCTTCTTCTCGGTCAGCTCAGCAAGTGTTCTTAACATTGTTTTTGGTTTTTGAGACAGGGTTTCGTCACATAGCCCAGATTGGCCTCGAACTTTAGAACTTTCAATCCTCCTGCCTCTACCTTATGGGTGTTGGGAATATAGTCATGTACCATAATACATTAATTATGAAATTAATGTATTTGGTTTTGATCCAGCCAGCAAGATACTTTTAGAAGGTGCTATTACTGCTATAAAATTTGAGCAGCATTAATGAGAGGGTTTTCTCCTTGTTGGGAGGATTTTATTTTTCTGGTCTGTACTGTTAATTTGAGGGGAGTGCTAAAAGGCCAGATGGTGTATGGGTCTGCCATCTCAGATACTTGGAAGGCTGAGACAGGAGGGTTGTAAGTTCAAGGTCAACCAGGGTAATTTAAGGAAACCCTACCTCAAAAAATATTAATTAAAAAAGAAAAAAAAATGGGAATGCTGGAGCTATATAACTCAGTGGTAGAACACTTGGTATAGCATACACCAGGTCCCGTGTTCAAACTTTAACTGCCTGCCTCTCTCTCTCTCTCTCTCTCTCTCTCTCTCTCTCACACACACACACACACACACACACACACACACACACACACACACACACTTACACTTGCATTTAAAGATTCCTGCTAGGGTTGGATTATAGCTCTGTGGTTGTGTACTGCCCTGGGTTAGATCTATATATAAATAAATATATGGTATAAAGCAGCCCCCCCTCCCCCCGTTTTAGAAATGGAATCCCTACTGAAGTCTAATTAGATGTTTCTTTCAATTTGCTTGTCTTGTTCTACAGGCACTGGAAGGGGAGGCAGCAGTATCTGGGGCAAGAAGTTTGAGGATGAATACAGTGAATATCTGAAGGTATCCCTGTGTTTCTGGTCACTTTTTTTTTTTCCCCTTGAGACAGGGTTTCTCTGTGTAACAGTTCTGGCTGTCCTGGAACTCACTTTGTAAACCAGGATGGCCTTGAACTCACTGAGATCTGCCTGCCTCTGCCTCCCGAGTGCTAGGCCTGGCTAAGTAAATACTTTTTATTAAAAAACAACTAGTGCCCAGTTGTGGTGACATGTGTTGATAGACAAATGCTGAAGATGAGGCAGGAGAATTACTAACTTGAGACCAGTCTAAGCTATGTAGTCGGAAGTTTTCCTGTCCTGACCAGCAAAGCTCTATCTTTTTCTTGATCTGGGGACATAGCTCTGTTGGCAGAGTGCTTGACTAGCAGACAGAAAGCTTTGGTTTCAATCCCCAGAGCTACATGAACAAGACGTGGTGTGCACACCTGTCATCCCAGCATCAGAGAGGTAGGGCAGGACGATCAAAAGTCTAAATTCAGTCTCAACTACATAATGAATTTGAGGCTATCCTGGGCTACGTGAGACCCTGTCAAAAAACCATTGTCCTACACACCAAAGTTGAGGGTGGGTTTTCAAGGTTCACATACTATATATGCCAGAGGAGCTCTTGTACATATACTCCCAGAGACACATGCCATTAGTTATCAAATGAAAACATTTTAGCATATCCAGTAGCATGAAGGCATACTGCAGTCTTTGTACTGTGTAACTCTGAGTGGTCCCAAACTAGAAATCCTCCTACCTCCGCTCCCCTTGTGCTAAGGTTCTAGGCACGTGCCACCACACCTGAGATCAGGATGTATTATTTTGATGGAGCCGCACGCACCTCTCCCTAGCTTTCCTAGCTAGTGTCACCTGATGAACAGCCAATGCTAGAGTGGCCAGTGGTTAGTTATATGTTTTGTTGTTGTTGACTGGGTATCTCTATGGCACTGCTCAGACTGATCTCTATTTATTTCAGTAAGGTACTTTCAATTCTTATATACCATGCCTTGTAGACTAGTAGTATTGATAATATTAGAGCTAGGTGAGACCTTCCTCAGATCTTCCAGTCCTGGGGTAATAAATTGGTTGACTGGCCATAGGAGGAAGATTCACTGATGCATTCTCTATGACCATTAAGAAAAAAACCCATGGGCAAGAGGTACACTATTGACTTTACAAGACTCCATCTCTGCCCAGTTTTCAGTGTGCGATCTGCTTGACCCTCGTGAGCATCTGTGTTTTGACCCCTGAACTAGTCCAATTCCCATGTTTCACAGGCGAAGAAACTAGCCTGGAGTCCAGTATGCAAGAAGAGATTTGGGGGATTGGGTTTTGTTGCCTGATCATTTCTTCATTCAAGCACACTATTCCCTAGTACAGATGTAAGGAATCTTTCTGTTACACAGTGATAGAAATAAAAGTGTGACTTCTCCAAAGTGAAAATGAAATTGATTGGAAGATATGATAATTATATAAGCAAATGATAGTCAAGGTTATTAGGGATAAGGATAATACAGTCTTCACGTGTGGGTTAATACTGAGAGAGGAAAGCTAGCCAAACCATCTCTTGGTCCCCTGAATATTGAAAAGGCAGAGAATGTTTCAGTTTGCCTTTGGAATTTGCAGTTGACAGCCCAGTTCATGCCTTGGTTTGTCTTTTTTTTAGCACAACGTCAGAGGTGTTGTATCTATGGCTAATAATGGCCCAAACACCAATGGATCTCAGTTCTTCATCACCTATGGCAAGCAGCCGCATCTGGACATGAAATACACAGTATTTGGAAAGTGAGTGTTCCAGTCATCTCTTTGTTCGGCACATCAGTATACTGCCTGTGATTGTAGTTAGTGCTGGAAAGACTGGTTGGACTATAAAAGTACCTGGGCTTTAGTTGGACTATAAAAGTACCTGGGCTTTAGGCCCACCAGTCACCAGTTTTCTGACCCTGAGGAAGTATACATTATCTGAGCTTTGTTTTCTTTATTTTGTTTAAGAGGAACCAAAGAATTGCTTAGCATGTTTTGCAAATTAATAGTGATGTGTGTGTGTGTGTGTGTGTGTGTGTGTGTGTGTGTGTGTGTGTGTGTGTGTGTGTTTTCAGCAAGAACAGTATTTATGCAAGCAGCATATCTGAAAACGGTGAGGTAAGAAACTGGACTAGCATGATGACTGTCTCCAGTGTCCAGGCACCTCTTGCTTTTCAGCCGTCCTTGGTTTCCCTTTCAAGCTCACCTCATGCTTATCCAGGTAGCACAGCTATCGGAGCATGTGTCAGGAAGAAAGGAGGAAGAACTAAAGGTTTTTGTTTTTGGGTTTTTTTTTTTTTTTTTGTTTTTTCGAGACAGAGTTTCTCTGTGTAGCTTTGTGCCTTTCCTGGGACTCACTTTAGAGACCAGGCTGGCCTCGAACTCACAGAGATCCGCCTGGCTCTGCCTCCCGAGTGCTGGGATTAAAGGCGTGCGCCACCACCGCCCAGCCATTGACCCACATTTTTAGACATTTCAATCCATGGTCATTTGCTCCAGTGCTTTGGCCTGTTCAGTACATCATGGCAGCATGCGGTGGACCAAAACTTCTCACTTCATGGCCAAGAAGCAAAAAAGAGGGAAAGAGATATGCCCTGCCTCTTTTTTCCTTTGTTTGTGTGTGTGTGATGTATGTATGTGTGTGTGTGCGCGTGCATGCAGATGCAAATGTACATGAGCATGACTGTGAAGGACAGGTGGCTTCCTTAATCTCTCACAGTTCTGGAGCTCACTGATCCAGCTAGACCGGCTAGCCCGAAAGCCTGAGGGACCCTCCTGTCTCCACTCAGCCAGCTCCGGAATTATAGGTGTGCAGGGGGTTGAATCCCCATCCTCAGGCTTGCACAGGGGCCATCTCTCTGGGACCTAGACTCTGTCTCCTAAAGGCTTAGTACTTCCCAGTAGTCCCAAGCTGGTGACCAAGCTTCTAGCACATGGACTTCTGAGGGACACTCAAGTTCCAAACCATAGCAGCAGGTGTACATGTCCTCAAGGTCACCCAGTTGTCATGAGAAAGAGCTGGGGAAGTGTGGGCCCTGAGCCACCTGAATTCAGGGCCGCTTCACTTCCGTGGATGGGACTGACCTTGATACTCCATTTTGCCACGTGTGTCCAGGAGGGACATTCAGCCAGGGCACCTGATCAGAAGAGAAGGCAACACTGAGGTGGAGCACTCTCCTCTGGAGACTATAATTGCTATAGATACTTTATATTTCAAACTGAGAAAAGTTTCACATACCACATTGTTTCTCTTTCAGGGTAATAGATGGTCTGGAGACTTTGGATGAACTGGAGAAGTTACCAGTAAATGAGAAGACATACAGACCTCTGAATGATGTCCACATTAAGGACATAACGATTCATGCCAACCCATTTGCTCTGTAGCCATCATAGACCTGGGCAGACACTTGGCAAACTCTTCACTGGAACACATCCATTGTGGTTTATCCAGTTCTGATTATGTCAGAGACTCTGGTCCTTCCAGTGTTCACAGTAATGATGTCCATCTGAGAGACCTGTAGCATTCACCCCCAGTCGTGAGCATATTCTGTACCACTGCTATTGTTCAATATGTTTAATTTAAATACAACAAAGCAATGCCTTGTTTTTATTACATGTGAGTATCCATTTTTAAATGCTGATCTCAGGTGCAGGCATTTTTTTGAGCACCCAAATCACATACCATGACCATGCTAATCTGTATCCTAGAAGTATTGTTTTTCCTTCACAATTCACTGCAGATAGGAGGAAAGCTGGCCTGTCAAGGTAGCACATGCCTTTAAGCCCAGCTGTACTACAAAGCAAATCCCGACTGAAGAAAGGACAAGAAAATCCTGCTAAGAATATGGTCTAGGAAGGCCAGCCAGCCTGCCCTTTCCTGTCTGGGGAAGGTTGAGTGTTTCGTTTATTCTGTTTGGGTGGTGGGTGGTTCTGAAGTAATGTTGGTAGGTTGCTCAAGCCAACTTGCTCCTCTCGATCCTTTGTCTCTCTAATGCTATGGTTACAAATTTAGCCGGGCGGTGGTGGCTCACGCCTTTAATCCCAGCACTCGGGAGGCAGAGCCAGGCGGATCTCTGTGAGTTCGAGGCCAGCCTGGGCTACCAAGTGAGTTCCAGGAAAAGGCGCAAAGCTACACAGAGAAACCCTGTCTCGAAAAACTAAAACAAAAACAAAAACAAATTTAGTTACCAATTTTTTTTAACATAAATACAGGTTATATTTCAAAAGTCCAGGGTTATTTGAAACTTGTGGGGCATTTACCCACAAACCCCACAGTTCCCCAGAGTTTTCTTGAGTGAGAACAGCAGGAAATATTAGATAGAAGGATTTAGAATGTGGAGATAAACAGAAAATACAGGATAGCCTCGAGAGGGCCTGGAACCTATTCCAATGGACCCTGCACTGTCTCTGCCCCAGGGTATTTATAGAGACAACAAGGGGTGGAGCAAAAGACCTCCTCCCCCAGCACAGCCAAGTGGAGACCATCTCAGACACCTGCACTCAGGCCCGTGGTCCAATCATCCTCTCTATGCAGACCTGCTGGGTAAAGCCATGAGGAACCTGAAAGTGGGTTCCCATAGAAACTGGAAAATATTTTCTCTGTAGAAAATAGTAAAAATGATAACATTTCCCAATAAGCCCCTTTAAGCCAAATAATAGCTAAATTATACATATAAATATTGATTAGATTCTGGGATACAGAAGAAACCTGTCTTCATCTGTTCAGAGAGCTATGTTTTACTTAAGTTGTGTAAGTGAGATTCCTATTCATCTTCCCCTTCACTGATTTACGGCAGACATTTTTCTACAGGCTAATCCATAATCTAAAAAGATTTTAGCTTCCCTTCCTGAAAGTACAGCCAGCATATTCTATCATCAGCTTGACGTGTTACAAATTCTTATCCTAATAGTGAAATGTTTGATTGAGGCTTGCCCTGTGATTGGGCAAAACCAAAACTTATTATAAGCCACGGTCATCCTAGGGTTCCCCCTGCTATGTAGCCTCCCTGGATCTGTGGGTTGCAGTCTGATTGTCCTTTGCTTTATATCTAGTATCCACTTATGAGTGAGTACATTCCATGTTTGTCCTTCTGGGTTTGGGTTACCTCACTCAGGATGATATTTTCTAGTTCCATCCATTTGCCTGCAAATTTCATGCTGTCATTGTTTTTCTCTGCTGAGTAGTACTCCATTGTGTATATGTACCACATTTTCTTAATCCACTCTTTAATTGACAGGCATCTAGATTGTTTCCAGGTTCTGACTATTACAAATAATGTTGCTATGAACATAGTTGAGCATGTATCTTTGTGGTATGATTGAGCATTCCTTGGGTATGTGCCCAAGAGTGGTATGGCTGGGTCTTGAGGTCGATCGATCGATTCCTATTTTCTGAGAAACCGCCATACTGATTTCCACAGTGGTTGTACAAGTTTGCACTCCCACCAACAGCGGAGGAGTGTTCCCTTTGCTCCGCATCCTCTACAACATTGACTGTCATTAGTGTTTTTGATCATAGCCATTCTGACAAGTGTAAGATGGTATCTCAGAGTCCTTTTGATTTGCATTTCTCTGATGACTAAGGGTGTTGAACATTTCCTTAAATGTCTTTCAGCCATTTGAGAGAAAGGTGCCTGCACTGGGTGCCTTTCTAGTCATGTGCTTGTAGTGGCCGGATCAGGTCACAGCTACACCCCACACCCCACACCTAAAAACTATTTGGTGTAGCTGCTGCCAATTACAGGACACCCTGGGCTGCCACCCTCAAGAGTGTGGCCACCTGGCAGCCCGGCGCCACTGCCGCCATCACCATTTCATGCACAACTGCCACCATTGTCTGGTGTATTACCTCATCTGTTGTGATCCCGACAGCTCTGCCCAGAACTGATAGGTAGGGGTTGCCTGGGTTAGTGTTTGATTCACAGGAGCCCGGAGCCCGTTTAGGGAGCTGAGTCAGCTCACACCAGACCTGTTTTGGCACTACACCTGTGACATCTGCTGGCCGAACATTGCCACTACACCCAAAATTCTCTCAACCTGGTTAATTACAGGAACAGCTGGGCACTTAGGACAATCTCTCCAGGATCTTATCTGAAGTAACTTTGCACCTTAAACTGACAAATAAATAAATACATAAAAAAATTTTTTCTTTACAAATTTTAAGTCTCATGCCTTGGCGGATAATATAAACATTTATGAATTTAAACATTTCTTTGTTTATACTATGGATGAAATTTTACAAGACAAATATGACCTTCCTGGGATGTATATAATTTTCACCATATTGGCGATTAGCATAGTAATTCATATCATATCATTGAAAAACTGGATTACTAATAACACCAAAAATGAGACATTAATAGGACAGATACAGACTTTGCAAAGTGGCACTGAGAACTGAAACAAAAGGATTCTTTCTTTGGAATCTGCTAATTTACCACAAGAACTTGAGTCCGCTAATAATAACTGGACAACCAGATTTAATTCTATTGATAATAAATGTGAATACCTAATGGATAGAACAGTAAATCTCCAGAGCAATCTTAATACCATACAGATCATTTCTAAGGAAGAACAATCATCATTAATAGAATAAAATCTTTGGAATTAGCTCTTTCTAAAGAACATAAAAAATTGTTTGATTCCATGAAGTCATTGGAATCATTCACAGTACAGGAAGTACATACTCTAGAAGAAGCTGTAGTTAGTCGATTTCAGGCTATGGAGGAGTCCGTGAGAACTGATAATAAGGGTGCTAACAAGCAGAAGGTCAAGGCTAAAGAGGTCATAATATCACCAGTGCCTTACAGAGTTAGAGATGACTTACCAAAGGTAACAACAGGTGGCACTGTGGTTTACCCTGTCACCGTTTGTGAAAAGTCAGCAAATGATAAACATCCTGAAGGATATGTACAATATATCTGGCAGCCTATTCATATGAGAGATTTAAAGAATATAAAGGAAGCTGTAGTTACCTATAGTATACATTCAACATATGTGAAACAGATGATAAATATGTGTTCTTCCAAAAACAGGATCACACCTAATGACTGGAATCAGTTAATATCTGCTGTGTTAGAATATAGCCAGCAGTTATAATGGAAAAGCTAAGGCATGAACAGCAAGGTAAGATTTGATCTCCCAAGATCAAATTCTTGGTGAGGGCCGCTTTGCTGATATAAATGCATAATTTATCTTTGATGAGCATACATTATCCATATGCCATACAGCAGCTTTAAATGCTTGAGAAAAAATTCCAGAACCAGGGAAACCAACTGAGCTATATATGAAGGTCTTCCAGGAGTCAAAAGAACCATTTACTGATTTTTTTTTCTACAAAGACTGACCAAGGATATAAACAAGGCAATATCAGACCAACAATTAAGACAAGTATTAACTCAATCTTTGGCTTTTGATAGTGCAAATATAGAATGCAAAAGGATACTTGTACCTTTAAAGATCAGAACCCAAAGAAGAATGAATTCAATACATAAACAATATTGAGTCTCTCAGCTATGGTGAGGAGGCTTGGATAGGAGAAGTGATTTCCAAAGGTGGGAGGAGGCATCAAAGTACCAAATGTTTTAGCTGTGGTAACCAGGTCATATAATTGCACACAGGGTGCTCCTAGAAGTAGTGCTTCTTCTAGAAATAACCAAACAGTAGACCCCAACCTTCTGGATTATGCAGAAGATGTGGCAAAGGCCAACATTGGACCAATGAATGCAGATCAACAAGAGTGGGAAATGACTTGGGGGGCCTCTTGCAGGCCCCTAAATTGAATGGGGTCCAAATATGTTCAGCTACTGTGGAGGAAATTCCTCCCTAGGACAATTAAATAACCCAGTGTCTAATGTAAAGAACGACACTGTACTGGATGATAGAACAGTCTTGATAGATGGATCAAAATTTGCAAAAAACACCATAAAATAAATATTTTGGCAGACTTCCATAAATGAACAAAGATCAAAGCTTAGAGTGAGAATTAACAACATTTTCCTGGAAGGACTGGTGGACACAGGTACAGATGTAACTATAATTACACCAAAATCATGGCATCCAAATGTCCAGTTTCTAGGGCTTTAAACCCTATCTCAGGTAAAACAAAGTATGGGATGGGTTGAATGCATAGGGCCAGAAAGACAGAGAGGAAGGCTGAGGCCCTTTGTGGCAAATGTAGCAGTGAATCTCGGGGCGAGATCTGTTACAGCAATGGAACACCCAGATTAAAATTCCTCCCATCTCAGACTTCAGCTGTCTACTGGGTTCTGTATTTGTAAGTGTATTTCTTCAATTTATCCTAATATATTTCCCTAATGCTCCTTAAGCAGACTCCTGTGAATTTCTTGCATTATATAGGATAAAGTAAACACAAAACAGAGTTACTTTTGTGAGTGCTGTGATAAGACAGCTGAGAAACAGCTCCCAGAAGGGAGTTTACTGGGCTCGTTGTTCAAGGGGTCAGTCTATCAAGGCAACAGGACTCTGAAGCAGCTGAATGAAAAAAAGAAATTAAAAGGAAAGGAGAGGACGTAACTGCTCCTAGGCATGGTGGAGGAGAAAGTTTAGTATATAGAATAGGAAGAGCATAGGAAAGCAGAGACGTCTGGGAGA